TTTTTTTTTTTTTTTGTTCTGCTTTGTTGTTTGCTGTTCTTTTGTGAGTGGTGACTTGTACGATGGTTCGTTTGCCTATGATTGATATTGGCATCAATCTGACCGATGGTATGTATCAAGGCATTTATCATGGCCATAAAAGACATGTGGCTGACATAGAAGCGGTTCTCTCACGTGCAGTTACTGTTGGTGTGCGCTGCCTTCTTATAACTGCCGGTTCTTTAGAAGAAAGTCGTCAGGCGATTGCACTTTGCAAGAAGTATAACTCTAACGATCTTCAGTGTTTTTGTACTGTAGGTTGTCATCCGACGAGGTGCGGTGAGTTTGTGCAGGATCCAGAGCGATACTATAATGACCTACGTGTATTGGTAGCGGAGCACACGGTGAAAAAAGATGGTGGATGTGTTGCGGCTGTTGGTGAGATTGGTTTGGACTATGATCGTCTTTTCTTTTGCGACAAGGAAGTGCAGTTGCCATACTTTATTAAACAGTTGGAGCTGGCGGAGGAGTTTGAACTTCCCCTCTTTCTTCATGATCGTAACACTGGAGATGACTTTTACAATATCCTTAAGCAATACCGTCATAAATTTAATGGTGGAGTTGTTCACAGCTTTACTGGGTCAAAAAAAGAATTGGAAATGCTTTTAGAATTGGGTCTTTACATTGGAGTAAACGGATGTAGTCTAAAATCAGCTGATAATATTGATGTTGTGAAGTCCATTTCGCTAGATAGAATCATGATCGAAACAGATGGGCCGTGGTGTGAGATGCGCAACACACACGCTTCACATGAAGTGTTGATGGGCGCAGCGAAATGTGGTGGAGTATCTGAGGCATTACTCGCATCATTTCCTACTTGTCGCAAAGAGAAATTTGTTGAAGGGTCCTTGGTTAAGTCTCGCTGTGAGCCTTGCCACATTGTACGAGTTCTTGAAGTTATCTACGAACTCCACCGTGAGAAGGTGCCATCGATAGAAGCTCTGGCTGTGAGTATTTATGAAAATACACGAAAGCTATTTCCTTTTCGACCACACAACGCGTGTCAATAAAACATATTAAGTAAGGAAAAAGTTAATTCAAATTGAGAGAGGGGGAAAAGAAAGAGAGAGAGAAAGAGAGAAAAAAAAAAATTTTTTTTTTTGAAAAAAAAGTGAAAGGTTGAGGTATGTGTTCAAGACTTTTACATCATGGTAATAAATTGATGAACGTTATAAATTATATTGGTGGTTATGATCATGTTATCTCTTCTACGTGGTACCGTGTCCCTATTCACATATATACTCTATTCGTCACCCAGAAAGAAGGTAGGAAGGAAGGGAACGAAAAATATCAGTGATGGATGCTGACAGTGACGTTAACACACTACCAACTCATCTGCTTCTCGTGCACATTGAGCGTTGTGAGCGACTGCTGAGCCACCCGCTGTTACTGAGCCGTTTGCCAGATGGTGGGGAAAGCATCCGTGCGCGCCACACTCTTTTTGTTGCAGAGAGAAAACGACGTGAGGCGAATGGTGATGCTGCAATAGTCGCAAAGTCTGTTGATGCTGTTGTTCCGCACTGCAAAGAGAAAGGGGTCTCATCAACAGATGACCTACTGAAAGGAATGGATATGAACCCTCGGGAGACAAATATTTCGTGTAGACAGTTTGACAGCAAGAATATTCTTGACAGAAATACGGAAGAGTCATACAAAGAGGCAGTGCAGGCGATGACTGAAAAATACAGACACTATAGAATCCCTGTGGAAGCGATTGTGCGTCGTACATTTGGGGGGTCACTTTCTGAGACTGAAATTCAGCGAATTCTTGATGATGTGCCACCAAACTACTTTTTGACACATGATGAGACAATGTCTTTGCAGCGGAAACTTCTCAAGGAGGAACGTCTTGATGCACTAGAGATGTTGCGACGTCAGCAAGAGTAAAATCTGAAAGAATTGACTCTCTCTCTCTCTCTCTCTCTCTCTCTATATATATATATATATATATATATATACTCTTAATATAACATTTTTAATTATCAAAATCTAATAAGGTTGGTTGAGTATATCTTTATCTTTATTGCATCCTTCTTGAATTTTTTTAGTGCTACAAACATACCTTTTCTTTTCTTTTAAATTTAAAGGAGTTTACGCTTTTGGGAAATATCGTTAATGGAGCTCCACGATTTTCTGAAAGATTTCAAAGTCTTATTTGCTCGTGCTCTCAAGTTGGAAAACGTTGGTGATAATAGTTTTCGAAGTATATACTTATGGACGCCTTTTCTTTCTAAAGCGACGTACGGTGGACAGTTGGTGGCACATTGTACTGAGGCCGCATACCGCACAGTGGATGCTTCTAAAATGAACATCAACAGCCTTCAGGTGAAGTTTGTCTCTGCTGGAAAAAGTGAATGTGGGGAACAGATACTATACACTGTGAAGTCATTACATAATGGTCGCTCTTTTTGTACAAGACTTGTAACCGCTACTCAACAGGAAAGGATAATCCTAGTTGCGTTTGTTGGATTTAGTAAACGAGAACGTGGGGGTATTGAACATCAGATGTGCAGTCCCTTCTGTATGACAGGTGCTTCTTCGGCTACAGGAAGAAGAAATTGTTCCATTTCGAAATATATAGAGCATTTGGAAACCTCATGCAAGCAGCAGGAAGTAGAGTCTGAAGAAAAAGATATTGCTCAGGTGAAATACTTAAACTTCATGGATCTTTGCAACATTCAGAGTATAAACCCGTGGGACGTTTGGTTACGGCTTAATGTTGAAGGATGGAATTTGTTGAAATCTAGGAGTGGTATCCCTGAAGATCGGTTACACATAATTGTGGCATGTTGGCTCTCAGACTTTATTTTGGCGTTTGCATCACTGTTTCCTCACGGTTTCCCAAATTCATCCCTTCGCTTTATCACAAGCCTTGACCACACAATCCACTTCCACCACCCTGAAAATATTCGCGTTGATGACTGGTTCCTCTATGAAGTCTACAGTCCTTGGGCGGCGCATAGCAGGGGATTAAATGAGGGTCGCATGTACGGACGGGATGGATTGCTGTGGATGAGTACTTCTCAACAGACAGTTCTGCGCCTCTCAAAGGATTACTACTCTAAGCTTTAGCGTACATTATAAAAAAGATAAAAAAAAAAAAAGAATATGGATAGGGGTGATTTTTAGTACAGTGGTGTTATATTTTCGATCGGTGATAGAGATTGTGGAGGTGCGTTGGGATATAAATATATATATATATATATATATATATATATTTTGCATTCTCCTGTTCTTGCTTCAATCTTTAAATTCTATTTTTGTTTTTATTTTTATTTTCATCCTTGTAAAAAATAATAATAATAATAATAATAATAATGCTGTGAGTGAGGGCATGGTTTTGTATTTGTGTATTCAATTCGTTTGTGTTAGGAAATGTACACAGCAGCTCAGGCGAATGAAGTTCTCCGCCGACACATGCTATTTATCAGCGCCCCACTAATCACAGTGGTTGGAGGTGAATTTGCCTCATTTTCTACAGGACGAGGCGGTGTGCGTAGCGGTGGCGCTAGTCAGCATCAACACCAACCGTTTTCACGAACAATTCTTGTGGATGCGAAGAGTGAATCTGTTCAACATGCATCGAGACATCTTGAAGTAATGGAGAGGCAGGCGCCTGCAGAAAGTACGGAAACGCTTCGGGAGGCACTTATCACATGTTGCAGTTCCACCCAGCGTTTTTCCGTTCCTCAGGTAACACTTGTAGAACTTATTCGTTTTTTTTATGAGCATATGAAGTATCATGCTGATAGTGAAGGGACTATCACAGGAGAATACATTCTCAAATCACTTTCCCTTTTTTTTCTCTGTGAGCGTCTCGAAGCATATAATCGTTATTCCGTACCTCTTCTTGAGATTGGTGTGCTTCGTCCTTGTGATATAAATTATCGTAGTCAAGGAAAGTTTGAGACAACACGTTTTTGTTGTACTGATTTGGGTTCCCTTAACTTATATGTACTTCCTATACGTGAGATTTTATCTCGATTTACATGCATCTTCTGCCATCAATCTTGTGTTGAGGGTAGCAATGAACTTATTTATTTGAGTCATTCTCGCTGGATATTTTCCCCTGAACCTGATGATCACAAAAATAATGATTCCTTGAATTCTCCTTTTAGTCCCTTTCCAGAAACTTTGCGTCGTATGTTTATTGGACCACTCATGCAATTTGTAACATCTTTTTGTATTGCCGACTGTAAGATGCATAATATATGGGGTAGTGACTGTTGTATTGTTCGTCTTGATGGTGTTAAAATAGCTTTGTGTTTGTTGACGCTAAATAATGCATCATTAATGACTATTAACCCTGAAAAAGGCGTATTGGATCGGTGTGATTGCCCGACAACATTATTAGTTGGGTTCCCTGATGAAGTTTCCGATGCCCATATACGATTGGGTTTGCAACGCATACTTTATGTTATCGAGCTACGAGAGGGTCCACGAGGGCAACTTGGTTCCTTAATTGATCAATCACCAGAGGACTTTAGACGTTGGTGCCGTTCTATAGGAGACCAAATTTTTTACATGACAAGTTTTCTCTTCTTTAATATGCAGAATAATAGTTGTATGTTATCTTTACGACCTGATTGGGAGTTGCTGTTTTTAGGATTATCAGAAAATTTTTTTTCTAAAAAGAATAATTCTGTATTTGGTTTTAACGAGTCTCAATTACCAAATCTTCCCGTGCGAGCATCTCAATTGTCACGACAGGTCTTTGCATTGGCGTCTGATTTGCGTTGGAGCTTCGAAAGATGCATTGCGGAGCGAGAAACCATTGTTGGGTCGTGCTTTGCTAGTGTTTTATTGGTGGGTTCGCAAATCATCCTTAGTGACTGTCACCCTTATGTTAGCTCGTTGTTGCAAATCATTTCTCACCTTGAGAGACACATTGGTGATGATATTCAACTTCCAACCGACGCATTCGCTGACGAGTCCTTTGGAAATGGTGGAGACAGTAGTGTAGTTCCTCGTCTATGGAGTCATGTTATTAACACCCTGTCTCATGGGTCCTCTCTACGTCTTGCTTGGCGGTATCTACCTGCCTCTGTTGCACGCCTTACGCGGTGCTGGGATGGACCGGATGCACGTGGATTCTTCTGCCGCTCCGTCACTGTTACGATGGGGTCTGTGGATCTCGTGATGCTTCTTCTTAACCCGGTAGGGGAAGAGGTGCAAGAGGTAGTGGGAGCGGAAGTAAGGAGCCGGAGGAGTTCCCCAACAGTGACGGACCATCCCGTGTGGGTGACACTCGCGGATGCCTGCAGTCGAGAGTTGTCACGGCGGGCAGAAGCCATGGCGCTTCTTGCCTCCACCGCCATCCCCGACAGCCGCCGCCCTCCCTCCCCGCCCGCCCTGCTCGGACAAGCACTCAGTCCGCCTCCACGATACCCGGAGGCTGATACCGTAGACTCTGACGTCTCACACTTCGCAGATATACCTATTACACGTGTAGTTCTTGGACGTACAGCTTTCAACAATAATAATAATAATAATAATAATAATAATAATAGCAGGGAACGTAGAGGAGATTCTGCCGTGTACTGCCGTCGAGTGGCTGGAAAGGATATTGTTTTTTCTGATGCTAGACTTTCTGCCTTTTGTTCTATCGAAAACTACTTTTCTTCCCTTTTTGCAACCAAGACAGGGGAAGGTGATACCATAGTATAACAGCAGTGTGGAATTTTCTTCTTGCACTGTGACCCCCCCCCCCTCTCCTAACGGTAAAAATACAACGTTGTCACGACTACACACTGTGAATAATTTTTTTTTTTCTTTTTCTTGACATTTCGCTTAAAATTCAATTTTTTGTTTGTTTGTTTTCCCTTCCATCTCTGTCTCTCTCCCTCTAACACTTTTTTTCTTCCATTATTTATTTATTTCTTTTTTTTTTTCATGAGGAGTGACGTGTGCGTGGGTCTGCGTTTGCGTGGTTGACGAGTTGCAGATATCATTGGTGTAGAATTAGACAGCATGTGGTCTGTTATTCGCCGCTTGCAGGGCGTGCCGATTGATGACGGAGATTCGCATAGTGAAACGCGTCTCGAGCGCAACCAGAGATGTATCATGATGCACGAAATGCGTCCGTATCCACGTCCGCTGGATCCAAACATTTTTACTCGTCCCTACGGTGAATTAGAATATGAAAAAGTACGGATGTGGATGCTAAATGATAACGTCTCTAGACGAATTCAAGCTATAAACCATCTCCTTGAGCTTTATGTGATGCAGAGGGAGAATGCAATTCGTAGTCTTAAATACGGCTTTCTAGAACTTTTACTATCCACACTTCACCATGATGAAGAGGAAGAAATGCGATGTAAAGCAGCCGATGCCCTTGCCCTGCTACTGCGTGAACCAAAGGCGCTTGATCTCCTCCTTGCGATGGATGACGACAAGGGGACATTGCGGGAGCTTCTGGGAACTCTTGATGACCCTTCCAATGAGGTTGTGGTGCGTGCTATGCGTGTTCTGATGGTGTGCCGTGCGGCATACAACGCGTATGAAGCGATTATGCGACTCGTACGTTACGGTCTGGTGGAGCGCTGCGTGCGGCTGTTGATGCCGGCGGGACGGGCCGACGGGGTGGCGGCGGCGGGGTGCGCGGGTCTGGCCGGGGCACTCGTCGTGAAAGAGGCGTTCGTGAAGGTGGTACGGGCTGGCGGGGTGGCCGCCGCAACGGCGGTGCTCGCTGCCCCGCAGCCGGACCCCCTCGCCGTCGCGGAGGCCGCCGATGCGCTGACACTAACCGCCGCCTACCGCCTTGGTAAGACTGCAGCCGTTGATGCACGCACACTCGCCGCGCTCAGACCACACATGCGGGATGAAAACTTGCGCGTGCGCACGTCCGTCACCGGCGCAGTGGCTCAACTTACCATATATGAACCAGGGAAGAGGCAAGCAGTGGATGAGGATATCCCAGCCGTCTTGCTTGCCCTCCTCATGCAGGAGGAGGAACGTGACGTGCTTGTCAACGTGGTTAAGGCTATAGTGAATATAGCAGAACTCCCAGCAGGAAGGAAGCAGTTGTTGGTGGCAAAGGAGCGACTAGAATTTATCGCCGAAGAGGCCGACGAGTACCAGCCCCTAACCTCATCTGTGGCTGAGGCACTTAGTCAACTTGCGAGAAAGTGTTAGATGCCTATCAGTTTCTTTGTTTGTCTTTCTCTCTTTTTTTTTTTGTTTGTATTTCATCATTTATGCTCATGTAACATATGTAGTTAGAATCTTGTTTCAATATGAACGATAGGAAATGAATCTGAGGTTGGCGACTGCTTAACTATAACTCCCACCTTCCCTCTTCGTGGTTTAGTTTAGCTTATTATATGTATATGTATTTCTTCTGTTGTGTATTACGTTAATATATATTTTTTTTTTCTTATTCTGAACTTCCATTGCGTAACTAAGCAAAGGAAAAAAAAAAAAAAAAACTTTCTGGGTAATAGAGTTAATATTTGAAAATAACAGTTAGAGCTAATTATACCGAAAATTTTATGTAGAAGAATAAATAGTGATAATAGTAATACTAATACTAAATAATTATGATTGTGACGTCAAGGAAGACCACATCACATACGAAAAAAAAGGCAAAATCACTGAAAAATACTCAAGATCCAAAGTCTTTGAAGAATATAACGACATGGCGAACCTACACTGGTTTGGTGCTTACTTTTGTTACCTGTATTGATACTATTGTTACGGTTTCATCACTTCCTGTTATCTCATCCCATATTGATGCTGTTCCACTCTCTCTCAGTACAATGTTGCTGGGTCAATCTCTGTTTTATTTTTTCCAGTTGTACAGCACCTTTGTGGCCGAGCGTTTTGCCAGGTTTTCTAACGGAATGACTGCGTATGCAATGACACTTGCTGCCACATCCATGAGTACTCTTGTTATGGCAACTGCTCTTCGTGAGGGGTCTATTTTTCTCTTTATTTTGACACGTCTTTTGAATGGTTTGTTTCGCCACACCATTTTACTTGGAGCGTTTGCTTTCCATGAACTTCCAGCTACATGTAAAAGTTACGACATGAAGAAATTCACTACATTTAGTCTTATTATTGCTGTGCTGCTCGGTGGATTCCTTGGTGACTATGGTCCTGGTCCAGCTTCGACAGTTGACATTCTGGCCGCCGTAGAGTTTTGTACAGCTATTGTTGTTGGGGTTTTGTCCTTAACACTTGTGCGTAAACCGAAGGTTTTTCCTGCTGTTCAAACTGTAGGGGCATACAAGGAGTGGTTATTTAAACAATCTTACAGAGATTGTATTGTTTTTATTCCACTTTGTCTGACTCTATTTTGTGCTTCAATGGGTCAGTGCTTGTACCCTTTTATTGACCGACGCGGATTTCACTTAAGATATAGCATAATTGGTATCCATATGGCTATTGTCTTTTTCATTCAGACTACCGTAGCCCCTTTATTTCTGGAAAGATACAGTGGAAAGAACCGACTACTGATATACATCTCAGCAGTGCTTCTTGCATTTGTTTCCTGGGTTAGCAACCTTATATCTGATAATGGTATTGGTTTTTACTTGATTGTAACGTTACTATGTACCGATCTCTCTGCCTCTCTATTGGAATTTTCGTTTACTGCAACGGCTTTAAATTCTTTTCGACCATCTGAAAGAGTATTTGCACAGAAACTTGCTCGTCATATCAAGCAAACAATAAAACAATGGTCTCCAGTGGTGCTTATCAGTTCCGAACAAATATTTGCTGAGCGGAAAGATGGTACACGTATCGCTATGTTTCCTCTTGCATTTGGGATAGTGGTGTTTGCTTTGACGAATAGAATTTCTCTATCCCTCATCGCTACCATTGTCATTTGTGTTGTGCTTGTAAGCTCCCCTCCAGTAGATGATGCAAAGATGTGGAGTGATACAATAATAACTATTCAATCAATATTGAGATTTCCTTTAACAGGAAATTTTGGGTTTGCATCTTAACTTAAAAAAAAAAAAAAAAAACTATTCTTCTATACATGTTTCCCAAGCTGATATTAAAATTGGTATATACATATACATATATATATATATATATTTACCACTCTGTATGTATGGAGGTTTCCTTATTCTTGTTTTTTTTTTTTTTGTCAAAATATTTTTTTTGCTCTTTATATTCTATATCCATGTTTTTGTTTTTCCTTTCTTTTTCTTTCTTTCTCTATTTCTCTCTTTCCACTTCTTTCTGTTTGTCTAACTCTTACTTTTTAAAAATTTTGTTACCATGTAACTTGTCTTCTTTTATATATATATTGGATAGTGTTTCCTTTGGGTGGAATTTCTTTAGGAAGAAATTTACTGCTGGTTGTGTCCTTTCAGAGGTTGTACTATACTCTTTCAGTCTAATTTTTTCCTCCCTCCATGTCAAGTGGAGTGACTCCCACGCCTGTTGATCCAGAGCTACAGGCAGAAGCTCTTCAGCGTTTTAACCCTCTTGTATTCACTTTTGCTGTGCAAACTGGAAACACCATATGTCTCCCTAAAATCATTGAGTCTATGACGCGTGACCCCGCCTTTGCGAAGGATTTTTACGTGTTGGATCGCAAGGGCGCTGGTCCACCTGCTCCTGAACCGCGTGGACGTTCTAGCGAGCGTCGTAGCAAGATGGCGGACGGGGCGAAGAGCGCGGCAGCGCAGCTGCGGGAGGACTTTGTGCGGATTGCGGTGGAGCGGGAGGTGCGGCGGCGCGAAGTGGAGCGGGCGGCGGCGGCGGAGCTGCAGGCCCTCACGGCGCTCTTCGTAGAGGAGGGACTTGACCCGGTAGCGGCAGAAAGGGCAGCGCTGGAGGAGCGGGCGGCGGCGGCGGCGGAACGGGCGTCCAGCGACGGGGACGACGGGGGTCACGAGCGGCCGGCGGCGTACGTCCTCCTCCCCGTTTGTCCAGCCACCGTTGAAGAGGTCGTGGAGCTGCACAACAGCGGTCTCCCCCTTCACGCCGTGGTCGCTCTCAGCAGTCGCGTCCCGCTTTCCGGGTCTCTCGCTGCTGAGACGCCACCATATCCAGCAGATACCGCAAAGGGGAAGGGAAAGGGGCGGAGAGAATCCAAGAAAGTGGGGACACAGAGAGAGAAAAATCCTCATGTAGAAGAAAAGGCGCCATCATCTTTAATTGCAGAGTTACAACAGTATATTGCAACAGAAAAGCGATCACCGCCCTTCTTGAGTGATATTTGCGTTCATATTTATGATGTACCAACAGAGGCGATACCGTCCTCTAATGCTGCAGCCATAATAACACCCAACGTCACTTCTTCTGCTGCAACAGGTGATAGTGGGGCAACACTCATGTATCGCCTAAAAGGGACAGAAGGAGCTGTTTTTGCTGCTATAATGGACGTTGTAGTATTACTCGGGGAGCGTTATATAAACTACTGTGAATGGAAGCAATTGCGTATAGAGTTGAATACACCTTCATATTTTCCCCTTAGTTACCCACAAACCAGTGAAGTAGCGCCCTCTACGATGGAAGAAAAGGGGCGAAAAAAGTCTGTTAGTAGCAAAAAAAAAAATAATGCTCCTGTTCCTGTAACACCTCCTGCTTTTATTGAGCCAATTCCAGTTTTTGAGGCATCTCCAAAATACATGAAAGATGTTGTCGCTCATAGATCATTATACGATTCTATTCTTGGGGAGGGGAAATTAGGTTCATTTGATAAATCTGTTTTTCGAACTGCTTGTGTATTGCAAATTGCGGCAACGCTTTCAAGGATATCTCCGGAATACTTAGACCCATATCCTAATGCTGTGAAACGTGAAAGACAACAGATGATCAAAGACAAGGATGATGCCACAGCTTTTGTAAAGTATATTTTTGATGTTGCTTTACAGGGTGTGGGTGCTGCTTATCTCAACGCTCTTTCTAGTTCAGGGAAGTCTTTGGTCTCTGAGAAAACCAACCTTGGCTCTGCTATATCTACATCCACAAACACAGAAAATATTTCATTGGCGGATGATAAGACCAATTATTCTTCACTTTCTCCTTGTGTTGATGATGATGATGATAATAATAGATCAATAAATATGAAAGAGGTTGTGATTTCCCTTTTATGTCAGTTATTCGATATGAATATGGAACAAGCGTCGCAGTTGGTGACGGAGGTAACTTCACTTGGCATTATTCACACTGGAGCGCGCACAGAATTAAAAGAAATTTTAGATATGAATAAATCCCTTAGTTGGCAAAGGAATATTGAAAAGGTGGGTCGTTTTGAAGTAGAGGTTCTATACCGTGGTGATGGATCTTCACGAACTGAGGGATCTGTTTACGCTTTTCACGGTTCTACAAGTTTCTCAGATTATGTAGAGATGGAGAAGTACTGCGCTAAAGAAGAATTATATTATACCCCACCTCCACCTGACAGTGATGAAGAAGAGCCAAGTGATGAAGAAGAAGAAGAAGAAGAAGAAGAAGAAGAGGGAAAAGATGATGACAAAGAAGAAAGGGAGGTTAAAGAAATATCAGAAGACGTGGTAGGAAAGAAAAAGAAAACAACTCGAGGGAAAAAGACTGAAGAACTTCCACCTGTGGATCCTATTGAGGAGGCAGATACTACACTTCGTCGCCGTCGCACGTATGAAGATATCTCGAGAAGGCTTCATCAAAAAGAAATGATTGAACAGGAACTAATGGTTTCAGGAAGTGGGGCCCATTGTATTGCTCAGGAACTTCAATGGATGTTTGCTGATGATGGTTCCACCATTGAAGTTCGGCGTATTGTGGGAAATACCCGACAAATGCACTGTACAGTAACAAATCCAGGTGGACTTGTTTTTGGTTTCATGACGCTAGAAGAGCCATTACCGGAAGGAATTCCACCTGAAATATCCAGTGGGGTGCGCTCCTTTCTTATTATTGAAGATGTATTAAGGTTTTTCTTTGAAGTTGTAGCTGATAACACTGATGCGGTGGAGCAAGCAGCCTATATTAGAGCTGTAGAGGCTGCCAAGCTAGAGGCAAAGGCACAGCATGATGCACTTGAACAGGCGAAACCATCAAAAGGAAACAAGGAGAAAGTGGCACTACCGACTCTTGCCGCTTTGGAAGAATCCCTGGTCTCAGAAATTCCTCTCCCTATTAAACGAGAAAAGAAACCACCGCAAACAAATGTGAGAGCATTATTAAGAAATGAAACAGAAGTTATTTTTTCTGCTTCGGATAAGTATTTACAGCTTTCTGTTATTCGTAGACTTCTCCATTCTACACTTATTGATCTTCTCTTAGATGTTTGGTCTGGTAATGGAGTCTGTACTATTAAGCTTCACTATATTGAAGCTATCACAATATACGCTGATGGTTGCGTAGTTTTGCATTCTCCAGATATAGGGGGTTACCGTGTTTGCCTTGACATGTTTGGCAACTATATTACAGTGAATAATGACGGTGTAATAGTACGTGTTACTGCCTTGGGGAAACGAACTGTAGTGAAATCGGACGGGATAATTATGCCATTAGATCCCCTCCTGGTTTCTCAATCTGTAGATCAGCTGACAGGAAAACAAGTATTGAAACGACAAGACGGAGTGGAAGTTACATGGACTTCTACAGATCATCATGAAGGAGTCATATATTGCACAGGGTGTTCGTGTTCACGTGTGGATAAGGGATTTATGTGGCATTTCGCAGGATATCCGATGGTTCGAGTAGACGTTGATCCATCTCGTTTGGCTCTTTTAGTGGATAACATTGAGACAATTATGGATGTGGAGGAAAAAACACTACGGTTAATACATGCCCGTAGCGGGGGTGAGGCAGTTCTGGACTGGAAAACACATCGACTGCATGTTCGACCAATGATGGACGGAAATTGTTTCACCATAGATTCTGCTTTTGCTGGATTGTTTGCTTTATCTGAATCCACTTCATATTGTGTTTCTCCTTTTGGTCGCTGTGGTGAAATACGAGAAGACGTGTTCAAATCTAAAGAAGTGGTATGTGAAAATTTTGTGCAGTACTTTGAAGAAAATGGGGGAAAAATAGAAGAATCGGCGTTACACATGACTCATACCACATATTCTCCATTTTCTGTAGGAAAATCTACCCACAACACAAAATCATTGTTGAAGAATGCAACAGCTATAAGCCACACAAAATATGCTGAAAGGAAAATTGATTCGTTGATTACCTATGATAAAAAACCTTGTAAGGACCTTTTTCGAATTGTACTGCATTCAGGTAGTGGGTTGCCTCTTATTTTTGTTAATCCTTGGGTATCCAGGGTATTCTTGAACCGTTTGAAGGCTGACATTAACCCAGTGTATTCACGTCCACTTCTTAGTGGTTCCTTTGCTGAGGGTGCTATTCAGGAGCATATTCTATTCCTTCCTTCATTATGTAAAGATACCAAGGTGGATTCTCTTGAGATCCTTCCATTGGCAACATCAGTTGCACAGTTTTCTCTCATACCTAAAGTACAAAGTACAACACGTCATCTTATGGAAAAGGAAGTGGATGCGATACATATTGTTACATTAAAATCTGATGCTCATTTGGATACAGATGTAATTGAGAAGTTACTACATGGGGTATACCTGCTTTCAAGGGAGGAAGAAATGTGGTCAAAAGCGATGATAACATTACCCCCAACAGAGGTTTCGCTCTCAACAACTCGCGCTGTTACTGAAACAAGGCGTCTTTCTTCACTTCATGATTTTGCTGTTGTTGAGGCAAAGGTACCACCTGTTAATTCTTCGCTTTTCAGAAATAGAAAAACAAAGAAAACCAACTATAATTACTGGCGGTTTACTGAGGTTCTCGTTGCAGAAGAGAAGAATAATGTTAAACTAAATGCAAATAACAACAACAACAACAACAACACTACCAAGAAGAATAATACAGCTGAAAGTATTCAAGCAGCACACAATAAAGAAGAAAACGGTGCAGCTATAGCGTACTCTGAATCACCAATAACCATGGAATCCCAAGTGAAAGGTAATCATCTTCCAGTTATGCATTCTACTATCAAGAAAGAGATGCCACAGCAGGAGCATCACTTTGTTCCATCATTAACTGTTTCTCCGCCGACACTTTCATTTGGGCGTGTCGTGCGAGGATATCGCTATGCCCTTACCCTTGCCCTCACCAATACTTCCACCGTGCCCTGCCGTTATCGTATCACCTTTCCTGCGGAGTATAAAAAGATCTTGCGTGTTGATTACCCGCGACACTTCTTGGCGGCAGGACTTACTATTGTGGCAAAGGTGGAGCTATCAGGAATGCAGCCTATTGGGGCCATGTGTGTGCAGTTAAATATTGCACACGAAGGAGGTACCACTGCTGTTTCAGTCGAATTTGAGACCCTAAGTGAATCAGACAATGCGCTGGTAAGTTCGCAAAATACATCGGTAGTACTGGTGGGTCCCACGCCGCTAAATACATTTGTACCTGGAACAACGCATAGACGACCACCTCATCTTATCCAAAGGGAACTGGAAGAGGGAAACGGCACAGACGTGGTCTCCTAAACTAATGTAAATGTTTGAATGTACTTTTTTCATGAGATCGCATGATGCACTGAATGAAATATATTATTTATTTCTTGTCAAATTAGCTCTATCTGGTTATATATATATATATATATATATATATATATCTGTATTTTATCTTTGATGGTATTCTTATTACTGTTGTTATTCTTTTTTTTTCTTTTTTTTTTTTTTTTTTTTTTTTTTTTTTTTTTTTTTTATACTGGGTGTCTTTTTGTTTTGGGTGGGAGTTTAGTTGTATGGGGCTTTCGGTGATAAAAGTACAACGTGAAAAACAGTTATAAATGACCCAGACAGAAACCGGTGCGCGTTCCTTCGCTCCCGCCTGGACGCTGGAACGACGCTGGTTCTTTCAATTTTTTGTTAGTATTCTTATTTGCATCAACAATGGTGCATGTTTCTGCTTCGGTATATTTAGTCCTTATATGAAGCAAGGAGCATTTAAATATAATCAATCTCAAGTGAACGCCGTCTCTACAGTGGGTGTAATATTAAGCTACTTCTCACTTCCGACAGGTTTTTTGTATGACATGAAAGGTCCCAAAGCTACTCTTTTAGTCGGCACTGTATTAAACTTGGTGGGATGGCTTGGCATGTTTCTTATGTTTATTGACATGGATCACCCTCTTTTAGGAAAAAGTATTTTTGTAATGTGTTTATTCTACGGAATCTCCCAATTTTCGGCAAGTTTTTATGAAACGGGAAGCGTTTTGACAAACCTCGATGCCTTTTCATGTTACCAAGGACGAGTAATTCTTATACAGAAGACTTTTATGGGACTCGGTAGCTCAGTTATTGTACAGATTTATATTGGTTTTTTCGAAACCCGTTTTAGTGGTATAGGACCTTTTTTTCTGTTTCTAATGATTTACTCCCTTACCGTTGGTGTGCTTGGTACGATATTTGTGCGTCTTCCGACGGAGGCAACCCAATGTTTGGGTTTAAACGTTCCTGACGAGGACGTGATTCAGAGCGGTGGTGGGGAGTCTCGGCTTTTCAAGACTCCATTTAATGTTGGAACTGGTATTTTATTCGTAAGTATTCTATACATACTTGGGGTAACTTTGTTGGAAAATTTTTATTCAATGTCTGACACTAGTCGTATTATTATTGGAGTTTGTACAATTATTTTGTGTATTAGCTTCATTATTATGGTTGTCGTGACACCAAGTTATCCTTGTAATGTTAAAGGGTATTTGACACATTCCCCTGCTCCTGCTGCAGTAGGATTGGAAGGAACAGCCACAGCGGCATCAGCATCAGCATCAATACCACCAACATCACTACTGCCAGCACCAGCAGTAGTTACTCTTCCTTCAGAAAGGATTCCTACAAACATCTCTGATGTTATAGTTGAAGTTCCGGGATCGATGAACGATCACACGGGGAAAGGAATTGTTTCTCGATTGATTTCCAGGAGTGATACGGAGTATAGTCTTGAGGATGTAGCTTCTCGAAGGGAAGGTTATGGAAGCGATCATTCCCTGTCGTCGCCTGAGATGGAAAATAAGGAAGATAAGATAGAAACAATTGAGATAAAGGAACGACATTTATCAAAGGGATGGTCGTCACACCTGGGTGATAATTTCACTGTCGAGTCAGAAGCTGCACGGCAAGAAATAAAGTTAAACTCAAAAGGATTATGGTATAATATGAGGCGACGAGAAATGTGGTTGATGTGGTACGTTTGCCTGGCTTCGTGGAGCTCGGCAACGGTGGTTTCCACTAATAGTAGTCAAATATACGAAGCTATGGATTTTGAAGGGTATTCTTCTACTCTCAATGTTGTTTTTGTGTCTATCTATGGAGTTGCGAGCGCTATGGGACGTGTGGCAGTAGGAGTTGCTCACCCTTTTCTTTTGCGTAGAAAGATTCCTGTTTCTCTCCTGTTTTGTATAGCGCCTGTGCTTAATTTCATTGGACTTCCTCTCTTTCTTGGAATGCCTAGAAACGCATTGGTGATCCCTTTCTTCATTGTTGGACTTGCAACGGGAGTTTCCTGGGGTAGTACCATTTTGATTATCAAGGGTCTTTTTGCCCCTGATAACTGTGGAAAACACTACAGTGCACTTTATACAGCAGGTATTGTTTCCCCGTTAATATTCAATGTTGCTCTTTTCGGTCCTATTTTTGATTACCACAGCAGAGAACAAGGTTTGTGGGAAACGAAACAGTGTAAGGGTCGTGTCTGCATCTGGATACCACTTGTAGCATGTGCTATAGTGAATCTTATAGCACTCCCCTTGTCCATTTACTTCCTTCTTCGTGTATCGAAGCGAGGAGGTTTATATTAAGGTGGAAAAAGATAGACATTAAAAAAAAAAAATCACATCAATGTCTTCATCGTGTCAATACTTCAGTGATTATATTTCTTTCTTATTCTCTTGTGGGAGAAAAAAGGGAGAGAGTAAAAGGAAGACTGTGTTCTTTATCTGAAAGCGTCTTTTTTTTTTTGGTAAATGAAAAATATATCGTTGGGTCAAACGATATATATATATATATATATATATGTATATTTATGTTTGATATGTTTTCTATTTTCTTTTATTCTCTTTATAGAAGGGAGACGATCTCAGTGTATGAGTGACCTATTTTATTTTTAAATATATATATATATATTTTTTTTTTTTATCCTACTCAAGACGTCTATTGTTTTACCAGAGGAAGATAGATAGGAGAGCGCACTTTCAGAAGGCTTAGTTGTCAATTGAACTAAAGTGGTAATATCGCTTATATATTGCGAAAATACGCTGTTATCGTCTGTAGTGTATATATTCTCTGTATATACTCGTATTTAGGAAGATTTAATTACATTTAGTTTATTATCTTTTTTTTCGTTTTTATTTTTTACCGTTAATAGTTCCAGCTGTTATGCCAGACATACCTGTTGTTGTCTTGGGAGGAGGTGGCGTTGGCAAAAGCTGTCTCACGATTCAGTATATTCAAGGTCACTTCGTGGACAAGTATGATGCCACTATAGAGGATGTATATCGCAAACCCATTGATGTGGACAACGAACCAGCAGTATTGACAATAGTAGACACGGCAGGGCAAGACGCCTTTGGTGCGATGCGTGATCAATATCTTAAAAAGGGTCAAGGTTTCGTTCTTGTCTATAGTATCACTGATGCTGAGAGTTTTCAGCAGCTCAAGAGGATTTACGCACAACTTCGTCGTGTGAAAGGTGATCAATCGGTTCCCTGTGTCGTTGTCGGTAACAAGATTGACGAGTTGAACTACAGAGCTGTATCTACTGAGGAAGGCAGCCAGTTTGCAGCACAAGCAAACTCTCCTTTCCTAGAAGTGACAGCCAAGAATCGACGGATGGCAGAAAATGTCTTTGAAACTCTCGTTCGTACAATTCGAAATACTACCGCTCCTCTTACGGGGAACTCCGGCAATGCTGCAATGATTTCTCAAGCAGAAGGGTCAAGAGGTGAAATTGGATATCGGACGCAAGACGTGACTCCGGTACAGCAGTCTGTGAGCCCTTCCATACCATCACCTGTTCAGGCAAAGAAAAAAAAAAAGAGCAAGTGTACACTACTATAAATTCGTTTATTGGATGTGCCTTGGTTATTACTATATTTTTCTCTCCCTCGTATTTTCTTTAAACAGTAAGGAACTCTTTCTCTGAATCTATGTTTCTACGTACGTATGTGTTTCTGTATATGTTTCTTTTTCTCTACCCAACGCAGTGGGGTGACTTCTTAGTATCCTTGTTTGTATTACTCTGCATAAATGAGTCAGGGTTAGAGAGACGGAGAGGGAGTTTCAAGAGCAAGGAAAAAAGAAGAATAAAAAAACTGTGGAGAAATGAGAGAGAAACGTATTGACTCTCCCAAAGTGAACATCTTGCTCCAGTTAAATTTCTCAGGGTGACTACGCTCGGGTAATACCTTTGTTTAACAAAAACTATGGCTTTAGTTACATTCATTATTTCACCGTTTGGTTTTGTTTATTTTACCGGTGTACCTGACAGATACTTTGGCAACTCAAGGGCACTTCTCCGAAGATATTTCAATATTCTAACCAGTATTATTTTATCAATATTCTCGTGAATAGTGCTTTTGGGTCACCAGATTATGGGATATATTTACTGAACCAAGGTAGAAGCCAAAGGTATATTACCCGATCAATTGTTTGTTTTACATTTTTTCCCCTGCTATCTGTAACTCTGAGATTGTGATATCACCATTCTTTGATGTTATTTCGTATTTGGGACTTCTCGTGCGAGAATGCGGTTTGCATTAAAAAAAAAAAAAAACAGTGCTATACAGGAGGGTCATTAGATATCCACCAAAAAAAAAAAAAAAACGCACATATAGTACCTTCACACGTTTTTTTATTTGCATACTCCCCTACCTAAAACGCATAAAACCAATAGCATTATATATAAAAAAAAAAGAGAATCAAAAGGTTGGACGCAGCAATGACTTGTTTTATTTTTGAGAGTACCATTTTTTTTTTTTTTGTGTGTGTGTGTTTGTGTAGGTCTTTGTGTCTGTGTGTTTTTTTTTTTTTAGTGGGATTCGCAGCACTTGTCAAGAGACGCAGAAAGGATGCTGGATATATGAAGTGTAATTCCTTCCTCATCATTTGGGTGGTGGTCCAGTATTTTCTTTACCAATAGGTCTTCAACTGAAGATGTGTGTCATACATGTGTATGTGTTCCAGGAATCTATTTTCCCTTTGTGGACTTGTCTATCGAAGAATAAAAAAATTTTTTTTCGTATGTCTGCTTATGATTGTTTCTATAACAGGAATAATACACCATGTGGCTTTGCATTTGTGTTAAATCATGCGGTCCATTGGATAGTGGCGTTATTTGCACTTTATATTCTATTGTTTTTTATTTTTGCTCTTTTTCTTTTTCTTCTGTGGTGTTAGTGGCTCTGTACCCCCTGTGTGTGGTGTGATGGGCGCGGAGGACGTGGCGGTGCCGAGGCGCAATCCCTTCCGCACGCCGTGGCGTACGAACCTCCCGTCCTTCCACGACTGTCTCGCGTCGCTCGGCCCACGCGGGGATCTCCGCGGACTCGGTGAGGCCCTCGCCGCCTCCAGCCCTCCCCCTCGCGGCCCGGGCCCAGACCTCTCCTTCCGCACCCTCGACGTCTCAGACCCCACCCCTCCGGGGTCACCACCGCCGCCGCTGGAACGCCCCCCGCCGAGCCGAGCCTCCTCCACAGAGGAAACGCCCACTAGAGGCGAGCCTACCACACCCACACCAAAGCAGCGACCTCCTCTCTGCCCAAATGTTTCGCCTATCGCACACAGTCCATCCGTTGGGGATGGACCCTTTTCTCTCCCCCGTACAGAACCACTGGAAGTACTGGGTGTGTCCCCTGCTGACAGGATATTTCCAACAATGCTAAAGGATGGCAGAGGTGTAGAGCGTGGGACTCAGGTGAATCACCCTGTCTTTTCTGAGCCTCACATAGTTCCACTTGAAGGGGTAGGGGGTACGTCTGTGTACGTTGAACCGCTTCAGCTAGAAGGGGAAGAAGAATATGTCGTTGAAGGTGAATTGTGTTCTGTTAGGCGGCGCGCAGAAGTCATTGTGCCACCACTCTGTGAACTTTCTGGCGGAAGTTGGCTCATAGAACCAACGTATCGCTGGGGTGATTTTGCTTATCACCACCCAGTCCTATATAGAATTCCTGCAAATTCAACTGGAGATGATGGTTTGTTTCGAGGATTTTCTCTTTATTAGTATTGATATTCTCTTTCTTGTGAAGATGAACTCCACTCCTCGTGTAGGGAGTATTTCCGCAAAGGTAAAGTGAATATTCCACGGCAGATATAAAGGTAGATCTGATACGTAGTGTAGAGGGTAATAATTCAGGTTCAATGTGAAGAGGATTTGGGCTAGTAAAGTAAGAATTGTTCGTGTGATACTTTTTTATTTTTTCACTTTCTTTTCCTTTTTTTTTTCTTTTTTTCTTTGTGGGGGGTACAGGTATTTTTGAGCTGTGTGTGTATGTCTGTGTGTGGGAGGGTATGGTAGCACAGGTCACATTGGTGGTTTGAGTATTATGAAGACACATAAGAATGATGAGATTGTCGACAGCATGGGTACAATATTCCAGGAGATGTGCAGAAGGCTTGATGGAGCTGAAGCGTCCTCACAGCATTTACAGAAAGTAACGCATGAGTGGATCTCCTTTACGCAGACCTTGCAGGAAGAGGAGGACGCAGTTGCGGCTCTCTCCCATTCACTCTCCTCTTTTTTTTTGCCCCTTGTAGAAGAAGTAGTAGTGCTCTTGCATGAACTAGAAACTGTCTTGGACGGTAAGAAGTGTTGTGATGAGAAAGCCCCGTTGACACCCAGTTGAGTAATATATATATATATATTATATTGACTTCTTTTTTGTCTGGTTTTGCTGATGATCTATTTTTCTTTGTTTGCTATTATTTGCAAAAACTGTTCATGATTTCTCTCTTCACCATACAGAATATTCTCTTTTAGGGTGCTTTAATTTTAAGATAATCACGTGCCCTACATCCCCTCTTTTCGTGTTACTTTCTTATCTTATCTTTTTTTCCCCACTTGATCTCAATAGGATCCCTATATTTGTGTTTTATTTTTATTTAGTTACAATGCGTAGTGGTTGTTCAAGCGTGTCGTCGAGGCGATCGTTGAGTGCGCCATGTGCGACAATCCGTCACGTTTGCTCCCTCACATTTTCACTTTCTGATGAGAGTGGTTATAATAGTAGTAATGTTGCCACCGCCGGTGAGTCGCTGCTGCTATCGGCAGAGATGGTGGAGGCTGCTGCGGCCCTCGCGAATCCCCGCCTTCATGCGGTTACAAGGGCCGCAGCGCTCTTTCCGAATTTTTCCTCAGGGGACACGTGTATGACCCATAACGAAGAAGAAGAAGAATTCAGCGCCCAGCAGCATCTGGCTAATTCACAAGATTGTAGGAGACGAGACGACACAAGCGAGCCGGTTCTTTTTGATCGGCTTAACGCAGCCAGTTCGCAAATTAATCTTCTAAACAGAGTGAATGGACACACGGTAAAGTATTGTGCTGAGCTCGAAGAAACAAACAAATCTCTTAGTTACGCGTTGAAGCAGGCTCTTGATGAAAACAAGGCCCTAAATGAACGGCTCAATAGTAAAAACAGAGAGCTTGATGGGGCGAAGAAGTTGGTGGCAGAGCTCAAGAAGCAGTTGGCTGCTTGCCAACAGGGAACAAGTGGTTCTCATAATTCCTGAGAGCAGCAGAAGTAACACCATCATCCTCATCAACAAGAAAAAAAAAACGAAAAGAAAAAAAAACAAGACCTTTTTCGAATGCTATGCACTATGCATATACTCTTTTTCCTCATTTTTTTTTTTTTTCTCTCTCTCTCTCTCTCTGGGGACCCGTTGGTAATGGGTTGTTTTTACCTTTTTTTTTGGATGTCTTTTTTTTTGTTGTTGTTACTTCTCTCTTTTTGCTTTCTATTCATAACACTTATTTTTAATTTGGAGTTAACTACATTGCCCACGACTATATTTGGAAGGGTGACATATGGCAATGAGACGCGTAGCTTTCTCTGCAGCGTTATCGTTAAGAGGAAGCAAACGTCACATCATCTTCAGCCCCCGCTATGACTGGCGAACTTCAGGTGTTCATGATATTGCACCAAGGGATGAGGGTGACTTTGTGTACGAAGGGGCACAACAGACGCTCCCTGGTGCTCACCCTCTCCCATTATATGACCCACACAACACCGTAACACGACCCTTGGTGTCACCGTACTTACCATCACCTCAAAGGTCTCATCCCTATTTTACAGAACCTCTTCCGGAGTTACCACACTTTGACACTACGAAACCTGTTGTTTATACATACGGTACTATGAAGGAACGTATCATCGTTCCAGTATATAATTTAAATAATGAAATAATATATACCCGTGAACTAGATCCTTTTATTTTTGGCATGTACCCAGAGACAGAAGAACTTAGCAAAAATATTACATATTGGATGGTACGATGCCAAAATTTTGCTAGTAAATGGGACTATGAAACTCGTGAGATATGGCGAAAAGCCAAAAAAAACTGGCCTAATACTGGTATGGGAATGCCACGCGCTAGCAATCGAAAGAATCACCAATACCCGTGGGGAGGTCGTACGAAACCGTCTAAACCGTGGAATATGCTAATGCCTACGATGGATGTCAAAACATGGAGCAGAAGTAATCGCATGATGTTAACTCTTAAACTACTTCAGGGACGACTGCAAGTTGTTGATAGACTCACTCTTGCGGAACCAACACAGGAGTGCTATTTAAATCTCTGTAGAAATATGTCCTGGGATGTGCGACATATGGGTGGTGGTGTTCTCTTCATGGATGGTGGTTCGCGCCTTACACCAAGCTCTGAGTTTGATCGGTCTTTCTTTTTTGGTAGTTTTTTTAATGGTAGGAATAAAATAGTTCGCCCCACTGTATTATGTGATGAACAATATGACTACAATAAAACTGCTTCGAAACAACGAATGAAGGGGCCCAAGGGTCCCAAGAATCCTATACCAATAAATCGTTTTAATGTTTATGATGCGATGAAACATGAAAGACTAGTTATAACAGAAGGTGCACTTATGCAACTAGAAGAGGAACTGTATGAGCATAAGCTACAGGTGCTTCCTCCCCATATTCGTAATCAATTGCCTGTGCGCAATTATCTTGATAGCGAAGTTTTGGGCGACTGTGTTCCCCCGTTACAGACAATTCAAATGGAAACTGCCGCACGTACAGAAGAAATCGAGAGTAGTATGTATCAAACATTCCTTGATAATCCATATCACCCTTGGAAAGATGAAGTGAACGCTTCTTACGCTGTTGATGCGGCAGATGGGACGGTTCAACAGTTTACCAATGGGAAGAAGACGTCATGGTCAATGCTACATTGAAATTATTATTATTATTATTATTATTATTATTATTATTATTATTGTTGTTGTTATTGTTATCATTATTACTATTATTATTAGTGTTCCTGTTGTTTTCTTTCTCTCATATTTAGCCTTTATCCTTACAAATGCTGCTTTCAGTATATACATTTGCATGCTTCTTTTCTTGCTATGCCCTGATTTTTTTTTTCTTTTTGTTTTCTTTCTGAATATGCATTGTTTTTTTTTTTTTTTTTTTATCTTCTCTCACTGCTCTTATATCTGACTTCTACCTCCTTTCGTGTTCCCGTGGCATAAAACACGAAAGTAATGAAACTTGCGTCAAAGGGTCCTATTATTCGCTGGTCACTGAGAAATCCAGCAACGGGCGTTACTGTCTCTCAGAATGAATGGCGTTCTGGTCGTAACCTTAACGATGAAGAAAAAAGCTCTGGTCTTTTATTGCGTCTCTGTGATACTTGTGGCTCCTCGTCAAGGGAAATCCTTCCTGTGGCCGTCGTAAAGGCGCAATCGAGTGACTTTCAAGTAAACGAAATTGACGAAAATGGAAACGTCGCCATTATGGAAAAGGCTCCTAAGGGAAAGTGGCGCAAAATATCGCGACAAAAAACACTTCTTGTTGAGGATAACGCCAATACACCATTTAGTGATCCGGCAAAGACGTTTAGTCCACGTGTGCTAAGCCATGGAGAATATGCAAGAGTTTTGGGAAAGCTACCGCGGGATCTTCCTGTTCTAAGGTTTGTACTTTATCGTGATTCTTATTCACTACGTAGTGTGGAAAATCGTCTTGGTTACACATTATCCCTTGATGAGGGTTGTACAGTTCTACATGATAATCCGGGAGGATCTTTTGGCTGTATTACACAGTATGGTGCTTGTATTGGTATGACAAAAGAGCTTCTTCCACATGCATCACGTCACTACAATCTGCATTCACTTATTTTTGATCCCAAAGAGTACCAAGCAAACGAAAGTCTTGGTCGTTTTCTTCGTGGACCACGTGGACATTTCTATCGTCTTCTTTTGCGTTGTGTAGAGGGCGAAACAGATGTCATAAAGGATAGATTGAAGATAATGAATGAACGAGGATTTATTAATTATTTTGGAATTGAAACATTTGGTGTAGGTGCCAACAGATCTTTTGAAATTGCCTCTTTTGCGGCGAAGGAAGATTTTCGACATGCATTAGGGTGTCTGCTTCAAAGTGTTGCTGAATATGATGGTGCACATTATGGTTATTTCCTCCAGTACCTTAATGCGGATCCCAATACGGTAGCAGGAATTTCCAAACTTTGGGCTGATGCAGCGAAACACATGCGCTCACAAAAGTGGTTGGTAAATCTTCTGGCAGGATTGGCAAAGTATCATAAAGTTATGGGTAATGATGAACAGTTACGTGATCTATGGGAGGCTGTTCCGCTTAAAGAGCGTATTTATAGTAGCGCTGCTGAGTTTGTATGGAATGCTATGGTATCACAAAGGCTACTCTCCAATGGTTTGAAAGTTGTTGAGGGAGATGTGGTACGGTATCATGCGTTCAAAGATCTTTCTACCATCTGTGAGTCTCAGTATAATTACAAGCTTGTTACAGCTGAGGAGGCACAACGAGGTATGTACCAAATCACAGATGTTGTTCTTCCTGTTCCATATGATGTTAATTCTCTTAATTTGGCTTTGTTCCCTCAATTAAGCCCTCTGGACAGGCAACTTTATCAAGAGTTTGCGGCTAAACATGGAGTCTCCTTTCTTTTTGAGAAATCATACTCCTCTTCTTCTTTTCAAGATAAGCTTTACCGACCACTTATAGTAAAACCCGTTGGTCTACAGGTTGCCGTAATTGATGACCCGAATTCTTTCACATGTTTGAAATCAGATCTTTCAGTAATGCAGGAACGAAAACCCATCCAGGTAGGTGATATGGATTACCCGTCAAGGGTACGTGAACCGTGTGTGTATAATGTCTCCGAACGTTTTGTGGAGAAAATGGAAGCTATTAAAAAGGTTCATGGTGGGAAGAGTTCTGTCGCTATTTGTTGTCGTCTCCCAAATGGATCTTCACCGTTTGTTATGTTGAGGGAGATATTTTCTCTGCGTTATGCTTCGTTTCAAGATCTTTATGGCGTTTTGTAAGGTCGAGTATGAGGATACGTCTATACATATATTTATTTATTTGTTTTATATATATATATATATATATTTCCTTCTTTTAAAACTCTTTTCTTTCACTATATTTCTCTGTCTCTTTTACATATGTCAAATTTTTTTCTTTCCTTTTTTTTTTCTTTAATATTCGCTTCTTCTGAAACTGTATAGAAGAAATTATGTCAGCGCAACGCGAGGGGGCTTCTGCCTCTGCATTTAAAGTCACACTATCAAACTTAGGCGTCGATCTGGAGACGGTTGGAGGGGTTACTTATCCTCATCACATATTTGGTCATAAGATGGTATTAAAACCTGCAGGGAGGTCGGAAATCCTTCTACCTGGGGCTTATGGTGAGGTTTACGTTGAACCAGGCAAGGAGTACTCCGTGCAATCTCTTTCTTTGCCTTGATAAGGAATGAATAGAAAAAGAAGCAATGAGAAATTGTATCTGTGTTTTATTTATCTGTGTATTCCATGAAAAAATGATTGTTGCTATACAGAAGGAAAAGTTTTTTTTTTTTTGTTTGTTTGATTGTTTCTACATATAACTCTCAAATGGGCTGATTGATCTCTGTTTTTTTTTTTTTTTTTCGCATGCGTCTGGGGCTTATGAATATGGTATATTACTTTCCTACTCCTTTCTTTTCATCGCTATTTGGTGTTGAAGGGTAGTTATGCGTCTAACACGGGCGACTCATGACTACACAAATAAGGGTCGTTATTATCTCCCTATTTTTAAGGGTGATATTATCCTTATTCTCGATGAACACCCTAGTGGTTGGTGGACAGGAGAGAATGTAATGGGAGTTAAAGGTGTTGTCCCATCTACGTACTTGCAAGAATATGCCATTAACTCACCACCTGAAGAGTTATTTCGTGAATTTTCCCTCATGAAAATAGCACGGAATTTTTCAGTTGATCTCACATGTCATGCACCGACTCCCTTGGGAGTTGATGAGACATTTTCACCAAGTGAGGTACATTATGATGTGCAAAATATCGAAAATCTTGAGAATAGTATCGAAAATTTTATTCTCCATCGTGAAACAGCCCGGGAAAGGCTGAAAAAGTGTTTAGAAGATTTGGTGAGAGAGTCTAATGATTGTTCACTTAAAGATGATACTTTACATGACAATGATGTGATCATGTTAAAGGTGAATGTTTCCAGAGGTCAGATCAACGTTCTAGATGCACATAGAGAGCAAAGGCAAGAAAACTTGCGTTCCCTAAAGGATAAAATAAAAGAGATGAAATGCCATATTTCTACCAAACTACTTCAGCTAATTGATGAAGTTCTTATAAAAGGGAAATCCTCTAATATTAAAGTTATACTTTTATTGGATATTTTACATGAACAATTGCGGAAATATCATGAAAAAGTTCAAATAGCTGAAAGGGATCTCTCTATTTTGAGTGAAAATTTCCAGAAGGCTGATTGTTCTTGTCGTGAATGGAAAAAAACCCTTTCAGATAGGATCACCCTTCGTGATGCGAAGATACGTTCCTTTCTGAAGTTCTGGTCGGAACAAGCGGAGGCATCAAAAATGGCTTACATACAGGACAAGGCACGTAGTCACCACCAGGAGTCTCTGAGGCGAGAAGAAGAACAACAATTAAAGAATTTGATAGAAGAACGTCGTGAAAAATATATTAGAGCCGAAGATGAGTTACAGTACTGGCGTGATAAGGCTAATGTTATTACAGATACGCTGAAGCAGAAGTCGATATTGGAGCAGCTAACTGAGGCTATCCAAGAGATATCAAGGGAAGAAGAAAAATTGAGGAGAAAAATACCATCTTCAATTGGTGGAAGGTAATTTACCTTAAACCTATCACTTGCTTGGGAATGATAAAAAAAAAAAAAAAAAAAAAAAAAAAAAACATGTTTTTTGTTTCTTTATGTGTATTGGTGTAAGAATTGGTCTTTTTATTGTGAGGAACACATATTTGATTATATTTCCTTTTTGCTCTTTGATATTTAAGATATATTTTTTTTTTTTTTAAAAAAGTAAAATAATTATACAGAAAAAAAAATATATTGCAACTGCAAGAGATCCATAATGGGGTCCTGTGTCAGTAAGAAGAGCGTTAGTGATAGGATGCCCCTCTATATTCCAAGTGCCACACGACTTATTGATGACTATTTTGCGGAGAACGAGGTAACACCAAGAGATGCGGTGACTTTCTTTTCCTCTATGTGGGGGGCTGCTCTCGATCTCTTGGTGTGTTCTCGTGAAGAAGCTAATGAATTTCTTCGTAGATCATGTTCTTCTAATCCCAAAACGGCAGCTGCACTTGATACTTATCTTGCTGCAACCAGTGGTCATCACATTGCATGGGATTTAAATCGTGCTAAATTTATGATGATTTGGATGAAGTATGATGTTGATAATAGTGGCGACATCAGCCTTTCTGAATTAAGAAAGCTTGTAAAGGGACTGAATTTTCCTGATGATCTCTCCAAAAAAATGATGGCTACCGTAGAAGCAAGTGGTGGAAGTGTGAAATATGCCCCATTAGAAAAGATATACTTTGAACTTACACGACTTAATGAATTGGAGTATGTATTTAGAGGTATAACAGGTCCTGGTCGTGATAACATGACAAAAGAAGAGTTCTTGGCATTCCTTCGAGACTCTCAAGGGGAAAATATGGAGGCAGATCATGATGATATGATGTTACAAGCTGTAGGTTGTATTGACTCCAGTGGAATTGACTTGAATAATTTCCTTTTCTTTTTGGCAAACAGTCGTTTTAACAGTATTGTTGATCCTGAAAAGGTATTTAAAGTTTACCATGATATGAATCAACCTATTTGTAATTACTTTATCAATTCTTCTCATAATACCTACTTGACAGGAGATCAATTAACCAGTAAATCGTCAACAAGAATGTATAAAAAAGCTCTTCTTGATGGATGTCGTTGTGTTGAGTTGGATTGTTGGAATGGTTTTGGGGGAGAACCAGTGGTGTATCATGGATATACGAGGACATCGAAAGTTTCGTTTCGTTCATGTATAGAAGTAATCAAAGAGTATGCTTTTCAGGTTTCAGAATATCCAGTAATTTTATCATTAGAGGTGCATACAAGTTTGTCACAGCAGGATCGTATGGCTGATATTATGTGTGATATCTTTGGAGACATGTTGTTTAAAAGTCCCTGGGGCGCCGGAGAGAAACCAACCTTTGTCTTTTCACCAGAGCAACTTAAGAAAAAAATCCTCGTTAAAAGCAAACGCGGTGTACACACAGTTAACGGAATCGGAATGGAAGTTGAAGAGGATGAAGACGAGGAGGAGGATGAGGACGATTACGTGGAAGAGACAGTAGAAGAGAACATGGAGGAAATTGAATACGAAGAGTTGCCAGTGGAAGACACATTTATGCGAAGACGTACCGTTGATTCACGGAAAGAATACGAGAGAATGAAAGAGGAGAAAAAGAAAGACAAGGGAAAGCATAAAAAAGTATCTGAAAAGCTTTCCGCAGTCATTTCAATTGAAACAGCCGGATACAAAGGTACAAAGGATCTCAAATATCTTGAGAATCGACAACCATATCACTGTTCCTCCTTTGTAGAAAGCAAAGCCAAAAAAATTGCATCATCTAACTCTGCAGCATTTGCAGTAATTAACAGTTGCTGTCTAAGCAGAATATACCCAGCTGGTTCTAGAATTCAAAGTAGTAACTATCACCCTCAGGTTTTCTGGAACTGTGGCTGTCAAATTGTGGCATTGAATTGGCAATCATGTAAAACATACTCATGGAGGTTTAACAGGGGTTTCTTTTATGATAATGGAATGTGCGGTTACCTTTTAAAACCCAGGCATTTGATTTCGAATACTAATTCAACTGAAACTTCTCAGGTACGAATGCTAAGTTTGGAAATTATATCTGCATTTTGCCTCCCCAAACCAAAACGATCATCCAAAGGTGAGATTATTGATCCACTTATTTTGTGCTTTATAGAGGGCCCTGGTAATGCTTCTACCAAGAGATATACCAAGGCAATTCGCAATAATGGATTTCACCCAGTGTGGCATGGTAAGGGAATGAACAATGAATTTTCTTGGGAAATACAAGATTGGGAGTTATCAACACTTGTTATACAAGTTTATGACGAAGATAAGACGCGTAATGATTTTCTCGGTGAGTGTACATTACCGTTGCGGGTTATAAAAAAGGGTATTCGGCGAGTACCTATTCATGACATTAAAGGAGAAACACTTTTTGGATCCTTTCTCATGTGCTCTATTAATTATGTATAAAATTTTATGATTAGAAGGAAAAAAAAAAGAGAAGATAATACTCAAGATACAAAGATTGTGCTTTTTTTGGCTTACTTCTTTCTTTGCTTACTTTATCCTTTCATTTAATACTTAATCCCATTACTGCAGGTAATGTTAATGAGAACAATGTGCATATTAAGAGAGTCTGAGGAGTGATTCACGGAATAATAATAATTTTCCATACTCATTATTTCTCCTTTCTTTCCTTTTTTTTTTTGCTGTTTAGTTTTCGCGTCAAACTCCGCTAAGCGAATCTCTCTTTTTTCCAATTGGTTAAAAACAAGAATGTGGACCCAGGCTCTGATTGCATCCGCTGCCTTCTTTGGTGCTGTAATGGCACAGAATGAGACCACCACGAAGGCGCCGGAAAAAAAGAAGGAATTTCCTCTTGTGTGGGTCTGTTTGGGTATCACCGTCGTGGGAATTGTCATTGCGCTTTACGTTGCCTACCGCCGCCCTGATGAGCTACGCCTTCCAGGTGCTACTGTCATGGTTTCCACTGAGTCTGAGGAAGCGAGTGGAAAGAAAGAGCAAGTCAAGAAAAGTGGCACACTCAATGATGACCTGGAGAACGTCTAGGCGTTTTCAACCCAAATAACTGAAAGGAAAAAAGTTTATGTCTTTTTTTTGTTTTGTTTTGTAATTTTTTTTTATTTACTTTTTCACTCATCTCTCGAAGCACAGAAAAAAAAAAAAAAAACGAGAAAATAAAGGAAAAATATAGGAAAAAAAATAAAGGGAGAACAATACTTCTTCCTCTACCTCTTCCCAGGCACGAGAGAATGTGAGATACTGTACTGTTGTATTTATATTATGCTAATTATGTTTGTGGTGAGGTTCTGCTTCGGCGTTCCTCACCATTTCCTTCCCACCTGGCTCCACTACGTCCCTCTAAGGACATGTATGTTGTACTGGTACTTTTTTTTTGTTATGTGTGTGTGTGGAGGGAAATTATATCATCTACTGCCTTTTTCTTTGCCTTTATAATTGATTTACAAATATGAGATTCGTCTGAATTTCATGGGAAAAAAAAATTTTTTTTTCTTCTTCCTCTATACAACTTTCTTTTTTAAGTAAAGTACTATGACTCTGACGAGCTATTGTTAACTATATGACCTTCTGTGTTAGACTTTTGGTAAACTTCTTTGCTTCTCTTGAGCTCCTTTGTTTTTTTTTTTTTTTTGTAGTATAGTTCTGTATAGATGATGTGCTCTGAGCCTGTTGGTTGGCTATTTGCCACTTCACGTCGTGCCAACGTCGTGAATTTGTGCTCGTAGATTGTGATGCATTTCGGTTTTGCATTGTTGCTTGTGATAACCACATGAGGTTGGTGGAGTAAAGAACGATTTATTTTTTAAATGGTGTTTATCTATCTTTGCCAACAGACTCAGCATACAATGAAACATGCAGTCTTACCAGGCACAGGGCTGTCGTTGTGGTTTATTGTTGTGTTTGTTCAACTGCCGGAGGTTTCCCATTACCGTTTTTATTTTCTTCGCTTTTTCTGTATTTGTTTTTCTGTTGCTATAGCTCCGAGCCAGTATTAGGACGTGTGTTTTATTGATCTTATATTGTAGTGCGGCCAACCCGAGCACTGTCAAGGGGAGAGTATCAATGAAGTCTTTTCCACGCCTTTGCCACCCTCCGAAAACAGAATAAAAGGCAACAAGATAACGTGGACCACGGTTACCAGATTGATATTTTTGTGTGTTTGGTGAATTTGGTGCTGTGTACCCATTTTTTTCTTTTTCCCATACATTTTTTTCTTTATCTTAGACTTGCGTTGAACCCTAACTTAAAACAAAAAAAAAACGACAAGAATGTGGGCCCAGGCTATGATTGCATCCGCTGCCTTCTTCGGTGCTGTAATGGCACAGGAAGAGAACCCTCCGAAGTCTGATGAAAAGGAATTTCCGCTTGCGTGGATCTGTTTCGGTATCACCGTCGTGGGAATTATCATTGCGCTTTACGTTGCCTACCGCCGCCCTGATGAGCTGCACCTTCCCACCACCACCGATATGGTGTCCGGCGGAGCTGAGGAGGAACACGGAGGCAACGAACCAGCCAAGAGAAGTGGCGCGCTCAATGATGATCTGGAAAACGTCTAGACAATGGAACACTATGTATATCCAAAGAAATGGAACAATGTTGTTTAATTTTTTTTTTAGGAAAACATTTTATTATTTATTTTTATTTCTGCACCCACCTCTCGTTGGACAAGGAAAGATAGAAAGGTAAATATTGGGATAAAGAAAGGCAAAAGCTAAAACGGAAGTCAATACATTTAAAACTCACTCTCCTTCCTTCTTGTTCACGGTAAAAGAGAGAGTGTGCGAGGCTGTACTGTTGTAGTCATACCAAGACAATGATGTTTGTGGTGAGGTTCTGCTTTGGCGTTCCTCATCATTTCCTTCCCACCTGGCACCACTACCTCCCTCTAAGGAGACATGTGTCTTGTACCGGGTACGTTTTGGTTTGTGTGTGTGTGTGTGTGTGTTTGCAGAAAACGGACATCATCAACAGCCTTTTTTTGTTTTAATTTTTCATAATGGAAATATGAGATTTGTCAGAAACTCAAGAATCACACATGGTAATGTGCTGTTCTTGGGTTCTGCAGGTATGTGACTCTGACGAGCTATTGTTAACTATATGACCTTCTGTGTTAGACTTTTGGTAAACTTCTTTGCTTCTCTTGAGCTCCTCTGTTTTTTTTTTTTTTGTAGTATAGTTCTGTATAGATGATGTGCTCTGAGCCTGTTGGTTGGCTATTTGCCACTTCACGTCGTGCTAATCTTGTGCATTTGCCTGCTGTGTTGTCATTCCGATGGGAGAGCACACCGCCGTGAAGTCAATAGTTGGAACTGGGGAATCACAATCAAACGTCAGCAGAACAAGAAATACATTGGACAGCCCAATGGGGTGTGGAACAATAATGATGATGATGAAATGGTGCAGTTATTTAAAGAAGAGATAATAGAAGTATAGTGAACTGGAGAATAACTTTCCATATGCACATACATATACATATTTTTTAATTCTGGTGCATTTACATGTAAGAGTATCTGATGCAACTGCAGTTGGCACTCTGCTTCCCTTCCCCTTCCACACATATATACACACACATTATCTCATTGGGATACTGAATTTCTCAGTTGTGTGTGTGACATTTTGTTTCATTCACCTGACAGATGTTCTGCATATGTACAGCCATAAATTCATTTCGTACACTATTACTCATCTGATTGGGGTTTGCAGGGACATTTTGTTTTGCCTTTCTGACGTCTGTGGTATTCTTGCAAATTGTGGTTCCAGGCTGGCTGGTAATCAGTGAGGGTTTGTTTAAATATTTTTTTGAGCCAGTTACTGTACTCTCTCGTTTGTTTTGTATCTCTGCTCTTTTTTTTCATTCATTGTGATTTGTTGTTGCAGAAGTGACTCTGCAATCAACAGAAAATCAAAAAATACAGTGAGAGAAAAATGAGTAGAAGTAAAAGAGAGAATGGAGTTTTGTTCAATTAACAAGAGATTGATATCACTGTTAAAGAACATACACATGATGAAGCCATGCCTAGAGAGGACCCAGGGTAATGAATGTTGATCAACTACCAGCAATGCAAACAACACTGTAGGGTGTGTGTCGACCAGGGTGAATATTTTACGTCACAGTCAAGAGAGAGTGTTACCGAGTGGGACCATATTCTCACAGTGGTAGTTAAACTGATCGACTTATTCCATTATTATTTTGAAAGCACAAACATTGTGGATTTCAATGAAAATAATGAGGTGGGTCTCTCTCTCTGTGTTGAAGGACTCGGTGTGGAATTGAAAAGATCAATCCCACCGCAGCTATTGACATGGAAGACTGTGGGAAAGAGTTCTGCATAGAAAAAAAAAATATGATAAATCTTATTCTTGACTACTGGACCTCATCACGCTCATCTCTGAGGAAAGGGTGGGTGGGGAATGTTTTGTATTTATGCAAACAAGTAGAGGTGATATTTGTGTGGCGAATTGCTTGGGAATGGCCCGGAGAAATCTTTTGGTGATCGTGTAGGGGCCATTTGGGAATCCACGCAATGTGCACGGATTGAGACCCCTTGAATCAAGAGGTCCTTTTCCATTTCATAATGCCTCTTCTGCCAACCGGTGAGTCGTAGTGGTAAAGAAGATCACCCAATGTTTGCGTGATTCCCTTTTGGGATGGCTGTGTTTGCTTGAAAGAAACTTTCGCTCCAGAAAGAAGAAGTATTTCCATGATTTTAGCGAAGAAGAATGGCGCACCCCCAAAGCCTGTTGAGGGTTTTGCGTTTTTTTCCTTTCCCATTTCTTTACAAATAGATGGGCAAGAATCCAGATATACAACTATTGCTCTCTTTTTCCTCTTCGTGGGACTAGAGAGTAATGCCCTAGCCTATCTGGCGTTGTGTCCACTCTACTGTGTGTGTGGGCATATTCTTTTCCACATTGTAATAGAGGCAACAACGATGCCGCTGCTCTACGATGGTGTAACTCCTTTGGTGTAGTTTGTATTTTTCACTTGGGTTGTGTTTTCTTGCACGCAGGGTGTGATGCAAAAATAAAATAAAGTTTATGTTGCTCTTTTTGTGAATAGTCAGTGTTGTTGTTCTTTTTCACATTATTGCGGACTGATGGTGATGATGATGAGAGGAGTAGCGCTGAGGCAACGCAGAGACGAAAGTGTGTGTTGTCTGTTGCACTGTCGCCTCTCTTGCAGTGGTTTTCTCTAGTGCCTGAAGGGGAAAGGAGGGGAGATGGTAGACCTCACCAGGAGACCCTTTGTTAGTGTTAAGATTTTTGTGCATGATGGAAAGGGAATGGGATTGTTTCTTTGTTGCTGCTTTTAACACAGAACAGAAAAGAAAGCAGTGTCAAAGAAAATGAACTGGACAACCAGTTGCAATGTTGTGGATGAAATCAAAACAATAAAAGAATGAAACTGTGATTGTGGGATGCACCGCAGTGTTGTTCCTCAGTGGAGAGTGGTGTTGCACGCACTCTGTGTCCACCCAAACATGAACATGTACTTGATATCTGCGTTGTGGTGAATAAAGGAGTCTTCTTCACTGCTGATTGAGTATTGATACTGGAGTGGACACAACTCATTGTGCATGAGGATGACCCTTATCTTGCAGGATAACAGAGTGTGGGGAGTAAATCACTGTGCAATGACACTGAATGGAAACCCATGCTGTATATTCTGGGTTAAATACAGTGTACATACAAATTACTTTCTCTTGGTAACATGAGTCTTGTATTCTTGTATATTGTGTTTGTGTCACTCAGTGCAAATTGTTTCCTGTGGAGTTTTACAGACATTTCATCCATTTTCTCTATTTTTTCTTTTTGTTTTTTTTGATAGTATTGCAGAAGTGTGTGAGTAATAAAAAAAATGAAAATGTTAGCAATTCAAGGAGGAAGATTGATAAAAAAAATGAATCTCCATTCGACGAACAGCATCATTTCTTCCTTCTTTCTTCGGCATCACTTTCCCATTCGATCGTTCCACAATAACAAAATCAGCTTATTCAATAAACCTCCAGCGGGACCTGCAAGAGTGGAAGTTGTACCTCAACCCAAGTGGACATTGAACAGCAGAGTCAGGGAAATACTGGTGGAGACACCTAAACTAAATGATTTCCTCCGCAATAATGTGGGTGGCAGGGGTGTTGTTGATTCCAATGAGAATGTTACCATGGAGGCATTTGTCATACAACCAGATATGTATATCCAGGACGAAGAACTAAGGGATCATATTACTGCATTGCCCGCCTACGAGAGAATAAAGGAAGATATGAAGTTAAATAATACTCTGAACGAGGTTGCAAACAATCTTGAAAAAGCAGGAGTTTACTATCTCCAGCAATGGGACAAATTCAAGTACAAAAAAAGGATTCCTTTTATGGCAAGGGGAAAGCTGGATGGAGCTCTTAATATTGCAAGGGAGAAGGGGTTTGTTTCTCAGGATGCTACATCTGTGGTAATGGAAGGTGCATATGAATCTGTGTATAATGCGACATGGCACTATGTGGAGGGTGTTGGTGGTGAGGGATTCGGTATGCAAGTGAAAGAGGGCCATCCACCGCAACTGTGGACAGATGATGAGGTGATGAAGGGTTCTGTAGAGGACGATATTGATAATGAGAAACCCGAGGATGGACGTCTGGAGTTGATGGTGCTCACCTCTGAGAAAGGATGGTCATACACAGGGTTCAGTATGAATAAGAGCTGTGATATTTATGTTAACAAGGAGGTGATGCGTGTATGGTATAAAATTCTAAAGAATCTGGATGAGTGTTTTGGCAAACGTGTGGATGCTAATAAGAAATTCACTCCATATGTGTTAATTGGAACGCCTGGAATTGGCAAGTCCTTTGCAGCTGGTTCATTCCTCCTCTATCAACTGTTGCATTACAATGCAGAACGAATCCCAGTGGTTGCGTACTTCATTAGGGGTGGGGCCTATCTGTTTGAAAAGAACAGTGATGGTGGAAAGGTGGCTCGGTACAAAAAAGAAGAAATGGCAGTAAGTGTTGTAGAGGATTTCTTTAAACATGGTGAAGAAAATAAAGAAAAAAGAGGATACATAATCTATGATGTGGATCAAGAAAGCAAAGGACCACCGACCCGACTGCCTCCTTCAGGATGGGGCATGATTGTGATAACATCCCCAAATGAGAACCACTATGAAGGATGGAAGAATCATAAAGGGGCAGAGTGGATCGTTGTTGAATGCCCATTTTTGATTGATATTAAGGCCATGTGTACATGGGAAAAGCGCAGCAAATCTGATGATCTTGAGTACTACTGGGAAAAAATAAAGAAACGTGTGAATGATATTGGACCGCTTCCCCGTTACATTTTCGATGGTGATGCATATGATGATCGGTGCAATGAAGTGGAGTCTGCGTTGTGTGGGATTTCAGAATCCAATGTTTCGGAGTATGAAAAAATCATGAAACTTAAGGGCGAATGGAATGATCAGAGTCCTTCCCATATATTACTAAAAATATGCCGTCAAATCGACGATGATGATTGCGATAATATGAAGATTAGGACGATTACTGATGAGTTATTGGATGCCATAATAACTCACGTGGGCAGGTTTTATCAGACTCCAGATCCGACTTCACTTCCCCTCCTCAGAGGCGCGTCCAATCTTGGATTATTTGAAGAGTTGGGTGCTATGGCATTGTTAAATGGTGACTTTGTGGCTGCGCTTGGTGCGCGTATGAAAATAATTCAACCCCCTGGAGGACGAGAGGGGCAGCCGAGTGTTCTGCAAGGGAGATGGTCGGCCCCGTATGCCCATACTGGGTATCTCTTCTTTCCTATCGATAATAAAGAAGGCAAGAGAGAGGCAGAGTTCAATAAGCTATACTTTAATATGCACGATTTTCCTCTGGTGAAGGGTTTCTACCTTGTGCTTCCCCCAAGGGGAAGGGCCAGACTGATCGGGATACGAAGGGTAACTCCAGAAAGTCGTGAAATTACAGCTACTGTAGTGGCTGACTTCAAGAAACAGCTTGAGAGCTCATTTTCTGGTTGGGCCGGTATTGCTGATATGGTGACGTGGGAAATCATTTTCTTTCACCCTCAAGGGGGCAGGCAAGATAGAAAATGGCAAGGATGCACTTTGAGCGAATCGGGAAAGTATAGCCATGAGCAACAGAACGATATTATCAAATTCTGGGATGAAAAGGTAAATCAGTATCAGGTGAATCTGTCTTTGGGAATGGCAGTACGCCTCGTGGAGGCTTTGGAGGGGGTGCGTAAAGAAGAAAAACTATCTAAAATCGAAGACTTGATACAAATAAGAAGGCAGGAAGTGCATCAAGAAGTCAATTTCAACTGAAATATGTTTTAATTTCAGAAATATTAGTGAAATAAAGTATTCCTTTGACATGTTGTGTTTT